CAGGACCCACAAAAGACTTACCTTTGATGTTCAAAATTTCAAACCTCTTATAGTACCCAAATTCAATGTACAAAGAAAGTGATGTTCCCTCCTTAACTCTTGATCTAACTGGTCTCTCATAATAAATAGTCATGATCATGAGAGATCCATTAGAGCACTTTCAGCAGTGCCCCCCAGCCAGGGGCCACAGGGGGCCCAAGCCCCAGTTTGATGTTCTAGCGGACTTCAACAGCCTGGACAGTTGGTGGGCTCCACAAGCCTGGGTAAGCCAGAAGGAATATCCTAGGTTTGCTAACGTCAGCAACAACAAAAAAATAATTACAAATCGAAAAAAATACTAAAAATTTCATAATTTTTTTAATAAATACCATGTCATATTCTTCACTTCTCACACTAAAACTCTATACAAATTCATCTTCTCATATCTCATGTAAATAGTGGTTGTCCTTGGATTGCCATGGCAATGGATGGAAACACCACAAGCCTTTTGCAAAGGCTACTACTATTCACGTGAATAGTAACAGTCATTGCCTTGCCTTGCCATTTTGTCATGACAAATGGGTGGAAGTACTCTTATATAATATTGATTGTAGTTAGGGAAAGTTTCTCCAAACACATCTCAAGTAAACTCCCTCATCTGTGGCAGACTCAAAATTTTGTATACATAAGGGCATGGTGGATTGTGGACTAAATTACATAAAAGAAATTTTTTTTTTTCCCATATAGCGAGCTAAGTGGGACTTTGTGAGGCTGAAGCTATTAATAAGTAGTACTATGGGCAACCATATCTTTATCTCTATCTCTCTAATCACGTGACATGATCATGTGAAAAGAGAAATGAACACATATGCGCATTATGCTTGTAACATGGAAGTTCAAAATAACAATAATTAAACTTTCAAATTTTGATCACATAATTATCCAAATCTGGCAAAGGATGTGTACTTACTAGGGAAGGCTTATCCAGGCACGAAAGAAACAAAATTTCCTGAGAATTCCTCTGAGCAATAAATTATCAAATTGAAAATTTCCTGAGAATCGTAAAATTTTAAACGAGTGCATAGCACGTGTATTAGTGGACTAAATTTAAAAATTCAAACAAACTTGAAGGAAAAAAAAAAATTATCACATCAACTCTATCTCTTTCTCATGGAAGATATTTTGCTTTTCCAACGGAGGATGTTCATCCTAAGAATGCTTTCAAACAGGTCAATTTTAGGCAAATATTTGTTTCTCAAATTTCATTTGTCTTGGAAATGTCATTTTCATTCCTTTAAAGAAGAATCAAAATGAATGAGGGATTCTCATTTCCCGTTCGAAAATGCTGAAGATTCATTATTTATAAAACTTTTTGGAATGTATAAATGGATGACAAACCCAATAGGGCTCTTGGGTTTTTCATTCTCAAATTTCATGTAAAAACTAGTTTATACCAAACATTGAAAAGAAATCTCGTAGATGGATTCTCAAAGTTCAAATTCTCACAAAACTAATATTATCTTAGAATTGACGTTTCGACTTGTTGAAAGAATGGGGTTATAATCTTCATCATCTATGCTCTAGAAGAAATTATAGACTAGTACAGATACATGTATATGTTTTCCTTTGGTATTTTATGCATTTAGATTTTAGCACATTGAGGAAAAAAAACACTACATTAAACCCCAGGTTTGGAGTCAATGAGATCTAGCTCAATAGAAAATGACATTGACTTGCAGACCAGTTGAGTTCGAACCCTCAAGGCTCATTGGTAGTGTGTGTGTGAGAAAACATCTCCCCTTTTTAATTTAGTCAAGTTGGTTAGAGCGGATGTGCTCCCCACTCTGCACCCGAATTCGAATCTCTCTCCACGTTGTTTAAATTAGATTAAAGTAATCGTTTTATTAGTCCCTAAACTTTGACCCGATTTGTATTTGAGTACCTCAATTTCCAAAATAGTTCCCGTGGTCTTTTAACTTTAGTTTCGTTTGGACAAATGGTCCTGCCATCAATTTTGTTAATTTTTTCTGTCAAATGCAGGGGCAAAATGGAATTTTTATATTAAAACAATAAAAAATAAAAAATGATATCTTTAAAATAACAATAAAAGAAAATCAAATAAAAAACTAACCAAAAAAAAAATTGGGGGGAGTAGAAATCGGGATAGAGGGGGAGAGAGAGGGTTAATTTTTTAGGTTTTTTTAAAAAAATTTATTCATATTTTAATCAATTTTGATACAAAAATACCATTTTGTCCCTGCATTTAACAGAAAAGTTAACAAAATTGAAGGCAGGACCATTTGTCATAACGAAACTAAAGTTAAAGGATCACGGGAATCATTTTGGAAATTGAGGTACTCAAATACAAATTGGGTCTAAATTCAGAGACTAATAAAACGATTAATCTTTTTGAATGCTAAAAATGTTGCATATGTTGGGCCTATTACAAAACATTGGGCTTGACCCAAAGGTTTACATTGACAAAAGAAAACCCAAAACCCTTTCTAACTTCACTTCTTTTTTATTCCTTTTTGGTCAGACATTTCTATTATCAAGCACTATGACCTGACACCTCTACACTTTCTTGTGGGAAAAGTTAACCACACAACAAAGGAAGATAAGCCCCAACAGAAAATGCCAAAAATTCCTTGACAGCTAATACTATACATTGCAATTTTATGTGACAAAATAGTTCTGATGCATGATATGGACATGAAATTATGTCCTACGCAACAATAACAATATATATATATATATATATTCGGCAATCGGCATCTTTGCTCTATGAAAGACAACTATTGTGTGCTGCACAAGTTGGCATGTAATTACAAAGTAGCTGCAGAGAAATATAAATCATTTGGAATCTCTCTCTTATTTTATGGAGTGGTGATATTAATTAGGATTTGCTTAGTGATAGTGATTATGGTGAAGATAACAATTTCATTTTTTTTATTGGTTTAACTTCAAATGACTTTGTGCTTGTTTCTTGGGTTTAATATTTGTTGGGGAAGCTTAAGGAGAATATGCTTACTGCTGACTTGTAATCTCCTTGGTATTTTTGTATCTCCTTTTTTAGTCCAATGTTATCGATTTACCCTAGGGGAGAGAGAGAGATAGAGCAGTATAAGTGGGTGCAACGTGAGACAAACTGCAATTTATTCAGATTCACTCATATTATAACACGTGTACATTTATCAATATTATACTATAAAGTCTAAAGTATAGATAGACCTAACGCAATTCTACTTATTTAAAAATTGGAAAATAAGAAATCCAATAAATGTAGGGATGTGCATATTGAGATAGAATCGACAACTAATTTGGCCCCTTTAATTTCCTCTCTTTTTTCTTCTGAAAACTCTGTCAACTAATGACTAGTTTTCCTTCGACTGAAAAAGAGGATTTCACAAAAGAAAAGAGGATCATATTAGACAGAACTAAACAACTCATAAAAAGACATTGTTGGCAGCACAGGTAAGACTATCAAATTTTATGGGAATGTTGCTAAGCTGCTCATTCCTAATTTTCTAGTATGTGGTCGTTAGCCAACTTGGATTTGATTTGAAACACCATCTTAAATGCCTCTCAAAAAGTAGTTTCCTCCATCAATTGGAATAGATCACATAATGTCAAGTCAAAGTTCAACATCATCTGATCATCCGACACTTGTTTCCTTGACTTTATCCACAAATAATAGGGCAGTCAGTTGAGTGACTTTCAAATCATTAATCTTTAATCTACTAGTAGTTGTGTATACATGGTTGGAGGTTTTCAGTTTAACTCGCGCGGATGCGAAGACGCTATATGTTTCTAATGAATTTGATATCTAATTATGATTAGTTCAATTGTGGCAACATTTTATATTAAACATATGCAAAAATAGATCTATAATTGAGAAAAGTGATACATTATATAACAATTTTTTTTTGTTTTGATGTGAACAAATGAAGTCCTTAATAAACTCATATAATAATAATACAATTCAAATTTCTTGGACTACAGGAGTCCAAGAGATTTATGGTCACTCACCGTTGGATGTAAATTCAACGATTCACTCACTCTTACACTCATTTTAAGAAACTTTTTTCAACCATTGGATGTTAATTCAACGGTGAGTGACTACAAATCTCGTGGACCCTTGTAGTCCAAAAGATCGAGACTGATTAATAATAATAATGAAATATTACTAAATTAGTTGGATCATATGTTGTGCATATAGTACTATCCAAATTACGAATTAATATGCAAAATTAACATGTGACGTGGTGTATGAGATACATAAAACATTTTCATTTCATCTCACAGACATCAACAACTGTTAATCCTCGACTTGTAGCAAGCCTATGTTAGTAAATCATTTTGTGAGAGAGGGGTAATAAAGTAATTTCAGTTCCAGCATGCAGCGACCGTTGAATTTAAAGTTGCATCATCAGCATGTCCCCCGTGAGAATATGCATGAGGAGGCAGTGCACCAAGTCAAACGGAGAGAGAGAACCTCATTAAAAAGTTGCCACGTGGCAATAAATGGCTCCCAAAGTTGTTCAGCGAACCAAGAACTCCGGAGAAATTACATCACAATCTTAAAGTGCAAGGCCCCAAAAACCTCATCCTCTCCGCCAACCAAGGACTTTGTACTAAATCCCAACCAAAAACCAACAAAATTATGTCCCTAAAAAATAATTAAAAAAGTGTGACTTAAATTTATTTCCATAAAGGCCCATTAATCAAATTCAGAAAAAATTCAAATATTTGGATTAATTGTCAATCTTATCCAATAAAAATGAGATTTTTCAATAAATATTATGTTAAGAATTAGTTACATATTTCTAATATCGACTATCGACTGTTGAATTGAATGCATATACATTTTAAATCTACCAACACATATAATGAATGCAATCAAACGATCGAAATAAAAAGACTGTTAAATTGAATGTATATACATATTAAATCTACCAACACATATAAAATCAGACGATTGAAATTAAAAATATATAACTAATCCCTAAAACATAAATGTGGCCTTTGAAATTTCTGAGTTTGACGAATTTGGTATTTTGTTTGCATTTCTATTTTGGTGATTGGATAAACATTGTCCACAATCCCAAGAACCACTCTCCTACTTAATAGCATTTTGTCAGTCTTCTCTTCCTCTGTCTCTCTGTCCGTCTCTCTCTCTCTCTCTTCAGAAACCAGAACAAAAAGTTTGGATCTTCAGGACAAGAAACAAAAATGTCGAAGAAACCAGAAGCCTCAAAGAAAACAGATGATGTGTTCGTTGGGTCGATTGACCAAGGAACCACCAGCACCAGATTCATAATCTATGATCGTTCGGCGCGCCCAATTGGCTCTCACCAGGTCGAGTTCACTCAGTTTTACCCTGAAGCAGGGTAAGCAATCAATCAAAGACTCCACCTTTCTTCTGTTTTTTCTTTCTCGTTTTTTTTTCCTCTAATTTTGATTTTTGTTGTTGTCTTTGTTGTTTTTGTGTGTTGTGGTTAGATGGGTTGAGCATGATGCAATGGAGATACTGGAGAGTGTGAGAGTGTGCATGGCTAAGGCGCTGGACAAAGCCACGGCTGATGGGCACAACGTGGACAGTGGGCTGAAGGCTATTGGGTTGACTAATCAGAGAGAGACGACTCTGGTTTGGAGCAAATCCACTGGCTGTCCTCTCTACAATGCTATTGTTTGGATGGATGTACGCACTAGCTCTATTTGCAGGTACTGTTTCATTGTTTGTTTTGTGTAGGATTTTGTATATTTGAAATCAGGATCTTCAATTGCTCAGTTTGTGATTTCTCATACATATTCATAGATTGAATTTTTTGATCCTGAATTGGGATTTTGTTGTTTTTGGATTTGGATGAATATGGTTGATAGTGTTTTTTTGGTCAAGGTAGGAATATTGATTATTAAGATATGTAATTCTGCACTGATTTTCCTGCTAATGATTTGTTATTGTGTTTTATTTATTTATTTATTTATCAATACCCCTTCTTGGATGATTTGAATGGTAGCTGGATTTCCTTTCTTTTCGAATTTTGTTCAATGCCCATTTGATGGAGTATTTATGGTAAAATTGGGTTTTCATGTCGGGATTGTTACCATGTTTTGTTTGTTCTTTCAAATTTCTATTTGCCTGTTATTATCATGATGTGCGATTTTGGAGTTGTGTTATGATTGTAAATTTTCTGGTTATTTTCTTTCAGAAAATTGGAGAAAGAATTATCGGGGGGAAGAACTCATTTTTTGGAAACATGTGGGTTGCCCATAAGCACCTACTTCAGTGCGTTGAAGTTGCTCTGGTTGCTGGAAAATGTGGATAAAGTGAAAGAGGCTGTGAAATCAGGGGATGCTCTCTTTGGAACTATAGACACTTGGTTAATCTGGAATTTAACTGGTGGTGTCAAGGGAGGGATACATGTTACTGATGTCTCAAATGCATCACGGACAATGCTTATGAACCTGAAGACCCTTGAGTGGGATAATCCTACATTGAAAACCTTAGGAATTCCAGCTGAATTTCTTCCCAAAATTGTCAGTAACTCTGAGATTATTGGAAAAATTACCACGGGATGGCCAATTACTGGAGTCCCAATTTCTGGATGTCTTGGTGATCAACATGCAGCAATGTTAGGGCAAGCTTGCAGGAGAGGAGAGGCCAAAAGCACATATGGGACGGGTGCTTTCATACTTCTCAACACGGGTGAGGAGATAATTCGGTCAACGCATGGGCTTCTAAGCACTGTGGCATTCAAACTTGGCCCTAAAGCTCCTACAAACTATGCCATAGAGGGATCAATTGCTATTGCTGGAGCTGCAGTTCAGTGGCTTAGAGACAGTCTTGGGATTATTAAGAGCGCAAAAGAGATCGAGGATTTGGCATTACAGGTTGAGTCCACTGGTGGGGTTTATTTTGTGCCTGCCTTTAATGGATTATTTGCTCCGTGGTGGCGTGATGATGCTCGTGGGGTTTGCATTGGTATTACAAGGTTTACAAACAAGGCTCACATTTGTAGAGCAGTGCTTGAGAGTATGGCCTTCCAGGTGAAAGATGTGTTGGATTCAATGCACAAAGATGCTGGAGAGAAGGGAGAGGTTAAGAATGAGAAGGGGGAGTTCCTGCTCAGAGTGGATGGTGGTGCTACTGTTAATACCCTTCTAATGCAGATTCAGGTTTGGGCATTGTTCTTTTTCTTTTGTTGCTCTAATTTGCACTATGTGGCTCAATTTTTATCAACTTTACCTCCTTTTCAATTTTGTTTTTCTGTTCATAATCTATAAGTCTTCTCTGAGTTCTCTCTTTAGTTTTTGAGTCATCCATAGTGATATATGTTTTCATAACTTTCTATGATTTACAGCTGTGCTTTCCATGGCATCCTCTTAGGTATGTTGTTCACGTGTCAAAGTGAGCGTTAGTTGTGTAATCTAACAACTAACCAGGAAAATATATGTTTGACCTTTTCTCTAGTATGTGAAAACTTGCCAGATTGTGGTGAGGTTTTATCTAATGAACTATTTGCTTATGCATCTTCTAGCTTTACATGTCTCAACTAAAAACTGGGCCCTTGAAGGAGACTATTTGGGATGGATTTTGAAACTATCAATAAACAGTCTACCATGTATTTCTATTATGGTATTATCGATATGAGGCACATTATCAATCCTTTCCCTTTATTCCTGTAACAACAACAAACCATCCTCAGCTTTCCTCAAAGAACTATACATAGATATTAGTACTACTTGCCCTGCAAACATGCAGTACTGCAAGTTTCTTACAGGAAGTGTTCCATTTTCTTTCGTATTAGAAATGGATAGCCTTTAGTAACCTTTAGTAAAGTGTCTTCCACTCAAATTGATTGCAGATTTTTTATTTATTTTTTCACACCTTTCCTACCTTTTCTTTTTAACAATTTTGTAGAAGACCATTTCTGTTGTTATAACTCTATGCTGTTCTCTTGTTATTGTTGTTCGGTAGGCGGATCTGTTGGGGAGCCCAGTGCTAAGACCAGCTGACATTGAGACAACAGCTCTTGGAGCAGCCTATGCTGCTGGATTAGCTGTTGGCATTTGGACCGAAAAGGAGATTTTTGCTGGTGAAGAAAGGGCTAAGGTTGCCACCACCTTCCATCCAAAATTAGATGAAGGGTTGAGGAAGAAGAAGTTGGATTCATGGTTCAAGGCTATTTCAAGAACTTTCGACTTAGCTGATCTTTCACTTTGATGTACTCTCCTGACTTCTTTTTATTATTATTATTTTTTTATCCTTAAGTTTTTCTTTTTCTCTTCCTGTGTTGTTTAGTTCTGGGATGATGTTTTCTCCCTCATGCAGATTTTCATAGAATATACGGGAGCAAAATAATCGTTAACTCTGACTGTTGTTGGCACGAGGATCAAATCTTTGTTGGCACCAGCACGGAAGGACCAAAAGTTGGAATGTCTTGCTCCTGACCTTCTGCACTGGTCAATGCATAGTTCATCTATTGATATGTTTCTGCAAGTCCCTATTAGTTGGCGCTTTCGGCGATTTGACTTGCTCAATGCCATCTGATGCTTCCCACTAGTATAGTAATAATGCCATAGTTTGGCTTCAAAGAAATAATGTGATAGTTGCTCAACTGAAGATCTTGATTGTTTGGTATCAAATTGGTGAACTGCTTTCAGTGTTTCCTATTAAAGAATTACTACAGTACTGTGATATATACAGAAAATTTACACCCCAAAAAGAGGCACTTCAATCTTGACATTGCCAAGATCCATTTCTCATGCTCTCCTTTTTAGATTGGCAATTGGTCTTGCTTGTGAACATTCTCAATTATCTGATTCCAAATTGTTAGACAGGTGAGTTGGATTCAGTGTTAAGTTGGAAACCTCAGAATGAATATATGTCTGAGCATATAAACAGTACTTGGACTATGAGTTGGATTCGGTGTTAAGAATTAGGTTTTTTTAACCCTCCCTTGTTCTTGGACCAAGACATATAAAAGCCCTTATATAAAAGCCCTTATATCCCCGTAACATAATTTATAGTCCACAACAGTACTTGCCTTTTTTTTCTTGGTCAACAACCTCTGGTGGCTTATTTAAAGTACGAACCAATCTCCCTTCTCAAGTCCCGGAGCAAGGAAATCAACAGCAAAATTATATTCATCCAGATGGAGTCATTCTATAGTGAGGCCTAATCTAAGGCCCTTAGATGAGGACCTTACTATAGAATTCTTGCACCCTGATGTTGCCTTATCCTCAAAGCACTGATTCATAATAATCCACTGTTGAAAATGAATTATAGTCCAATATTATTTACTTCATGACTGTGGGGCTGTTTTTGTTGGAATCACTTATACTCATAAACGTTTTTGCTAGAAATGCTTTTATTGGAAGCACATAGAAATTTTTATTGAAAGTGCTTAGCACTTAGCCTGCACTTCTCAAGAAAACATTTATGCCAATCTTGTCATAATCGCATTTTAAATATTACAAAAGCAATTCCAAACAAACCCTTAATTTTTCTTGGATAACAACCACTAATTTAATTATTATGTATGCATGTTTAGAATAATCACTTCAATCAAGTTGGTTGCTTGGCAAGACCAAACCAATAAATAAATTACCTTTGGTTAGTTACCAACCCACTCAACATTTCTTAGTACACAGTCCACTTTGCAATGATATTGTTTTCAACCCATCAATTACAATTTACACATGGCTCATATGATTAAATTGTTCCCCTGGCAAGCATCCACCATGCTTTCTGGGAATCCAAACAGATGACATATGATTAGTGACTTTTTAACTAATGTAAAAGCATAATGTATTATGTATATGTATATTGTTCTTTGGAAATTGAGGAGGATCAAACTCAAAGTGCCCTCATCAAATCTCCGCCGTTCGATCAATTCATCAACGGCCATAATCTAGACACATGGTCGGTTTTTATTAAGATAATAGGTAACTTCAGCAAATGAATGGTGGGTGGGGACATTTTAATGGGCATTTTAGGAAACACAAGACATCTTGTTTTCATTTGAATTGAAGCTTTGGTTTAATTAGATTTAGCTAAAGTAATTTATGGCATCCATCCTACTCTAATCATGAGATGCCACTATCCCTCCCTAATTTTTCTTCTTTTCTTTTTGTGTTTTACCTAAAAAAAATATGAATTGAATTGAGAGGTAGAGGGGTTATAAACAATCAAATGCCAATCCAATCCATTGACATCATAGGCATATAGCTTAAATTAGTAGCTAGATTGTACAGAAAGAATGGATGCTTAAAGGCGGAGAATCAGCCCCTTTATTGGTTGTCAAATGAACTTACGAAAGCTAAAATGCTATTTCTTGTTTTGGTCTAATTAATAGTTATTAATAATTCTGAGGTTAATCGTTGTAACCCACAATCACAAATGAACTACTTTAAAGTCACACTTCCACTAACTTATGCACATATACTATTCGTTTTTAGTACCATTTTTATTGCGGAACCCTTCTATTTTCTCCATTCTTCTTCTCATCCTGCAATGTGGTTTAATGATCGAACAATTTATTTTTTAGGCTGTCTTTTAAAGATCTACAATAAAAGTCAACCAAATCAGAAATGGTTTAGCAATCTAACTATTATTAGACAAATAGACGCATATGATGTTTCAATACTAGAGTTTTGACAATGTTAATCAAATGACTAAACAATTTTCAACATGATTAATTTACTTTTCGAGCATTATGCTTGATGAATGACCTAACAAATGGACGACTCGATAATTTGACCACATTACAGGATGAGAAGGAGATGTAGTTAGCACTCCATTGTTACATGGACGCTAAATATTGTTACTAAAAAAGAGTTCATTACAATATCAATGGTGGTAGAAGAGCTCAAAGTTAGTTATCGCCAATGTACTATGTTTACTGTTTAGCTCGTTTACATTGGGATATCTGACGTCTTATATTGAGTTTTTATTCTAATAGAAAAGAGCAGTGTGAATTTTAGCAGATTTACTATGAGGCAAATTCACACTTTAACTAATAATGATCATGGTCATCATCATATACTGAGTAATTGCTTTTGTAATCATACAAAATAGAAAAGTCATCACTATGATACAATATTGGTGCTACCTTCATCCAATTTGTTCAGTAAATTTGCTCACAAAATATGTTACACATTATAAGCATGTAAGCTTATAATTTTAACAATAATAAAGTTTCTTAGGAATCATGACGTGTATGACACTAACTAATAACATATAGACTAAATTGTAGCAATAGTCTCTGAACTATACCCCGTTTACCATTTCATTCGGTCTTCGGTTTTGTTCCTAACAATTTCATACTTGATATAAAAAACAAAAAGTAAAACTTAGGAGAGGAATAGCTCAAATGAGGAGGTGGGTGAGAAAGGAAAAAGGGAAGACTTCCAATGAAGCACGAAACTACAAATGTCAAAAAGCACACAAAACAAAAGCATCACAGCAAAGCAAAGCAACCCACCACATAGGAGAGAAGAAGATGATGAAGAAGAAGAAGAGTGAAGTAAAGAAATTACGACGAAACCAACCCAAGCCAAGCCAAAAAGAGATGGACCTTAAAATGAGAGAGCAGAAAGCTGAAGCAAACTTTCACTGCCAACTTTGTCAAAATGCAATCCCCTCACGCAAACAACCAAGAAATATCAGAGACCGAAACAGAAAGAAAATTTACAACTAGGTCAATAATATCCACAGAATCCAATTAAAATCCAAGAAAAATGGAAAAAAGCTTTTCTGCAGAGTCAGACTGTGAAGTCGTCTCGCATCCTCGTTCCTTGTTTCAATGCCCAGCTGACCCCCACGACTCATCATTCAATGCCAGCTACACCAATATTATTATTTACCATCTTTTCTCCTCCTCCCATTTTCAAAAGTTCAAAAGCACTTTTGAACTTTTTTAAACAGTGATTTACCAGACCACACAGTTATTATTGCTCTTAATTATTACAAAGTCAAGTTTTCTTGGTGCTAATTATGAATTGATCACATCAGGGTTATGTATGTTATGCGTCTGCTTCACTTAATGGGAAAGTTCAATTGAAGTTTCAAAAACGTACACAAAGTGCTGGACTTTCTTTTGGGCCCATAAAGTGAAAACGCGGAATGCTGGAAAATAGATAGAAAATAACAGTGGGATTCTCTCTCTCTCTCTCTCTCTCTCTCTCTTCCTAATTCATAAGAAATAAATAAACTTATATTTTGGATTCTGACTCTGCCTTTCGCCGTATTTCTGACATTTCCTCCTCACATCACCCCATAAAGCAAACAACACAGAGGAAATAAACCAGAAAAGAATCTCATACAGTACAAAATAATTCAAAAGCAAACCCAAACAGAATAAAAACCCATCTCTCTCTCTCTCTCTCTCTAAACAAGAATAAAAACCCCACATTTCTCTTCCCGCTTTGTTTCTCATCTTTTCTCTAAGAAGAAAACCTCTTTGGCTCTTCCGCCATGAACACGCCCGCTTGCGGACCCGACCCGGTTTCACCCAACACCACATACGTCCAAGCCGACCCGGCAACTTTCAGGGCCGTGGTCCAGAAGCTGACCGGAGCACCCGAAGACCCATCAGCCCAAAAGCTCCCTCTCACCCTCCCAGCCCGCTATTCCAACCCAAAGCCCACCACCGCCACCGAAATGGGGCCCCGGCGACCCGCTTTCAAGCTCCACGAGCGCAGGCATGCCACCAAGAAGCTAGAGCTCAACCTCAACACGGCGAACCCATCCGCCTCATGTGGGCCCCACGGTAGGCCCAGAGGGTTTGTAGGTTTTGGGAGCCATCACGAGATGGTGATGGTTTCGCCCGTTTCGACATTGGACTTTCTCGCACGTGGGAGCCCGAGGACGCCCGCGTCACCATGTGAAGATGAAGATAGGGCCATTGCTGAGAAGGGGTTCTATTTGCACCCAAGTCCTCCGCTAAGTACACCCAGAGGCTCTGAGCCTCCTGAGCTATTGCCTCTGTTTCCCCTCCATTCTCCACGAGATAGCCAGAACTCTTCTTCTGCTACTTAATTAGCAACCCAACCAAATTTTTTATTTTTTATTTTAATTTTTGATCAATTTTTATGTTGTTCATGAGGTTATTATTATAGTGGTAATTATGGGTTTGGATATTTTTAAAATTTTCCCTTTTAATCTTTGTGTTTTTTATTTTTAAAAACTTTGCGTCCATGATAATAATGTAGGCTAGAATTTTTTTGGGAAGAATGAGGAGCTGTGCTTCTTGGTCTACTGCTTAAAAAAAAAAGATGTAAATGTCAATTTGGAAAAAAAGGAAAAGAAAAGAAGCAAAAGCTGTTGATGTGTGAGGCTATATCAGAATTGACAAAATAGAGACAAGACCAAAATGCTGTAAATGTGCGAGGTTCTATCACAATAGAATACTGTGGCCAAAATAAAAGTGGCATGAGGAGGCATGGTTCCTTCCTTGTCTGCAGCCCTATTTCTCCAATTTTGTCACCGCACACACAAGAAGCCATATTTGGTCCTTTAGTCTTCTAATCAGACCACTTGTAGTCTAGCTTTGGCCTGGGCCAAATTTTTTGTGAGCCCAATGTATGTGATTTCTAAGAAGAAAAAGTATCGCGTGTGGACAAGAGCATAAAACATCTTGTATAACTGTAGATCCAACAGCCAATATTAAAGGCGTGCTGACGGCTAGCCGTTAGGTTTTTTTATAATAGCTTTTAAAAATGTTTTTAAACTCATTTTATTTTAAAAAAAAATATATATATAATTGGTTTCTAACCATTGGAGGTTAGAACCATTGATTGAAAAGTTACTTTTTTTAAAAAAATTTAAAACCTTTTAAAATGTTTTAAATTTGTTTTGTTTAAAGAATATATATATATATAATTAGTTATGACCTCAGATCAATTGAAATGCAACTTTTTATTTTTATTTTTTTAAAGTTTCCTTTGTTGGCTTTATTATTATTATTTTAATTTTTTTAAAAACCTAAAATATGTTTATAAATACCTCAACATTTCTTCAAAAATTTTCCCATTCATTTCATTCCACATTTCTTACAAATTCTATCACATTCTCTGCTTATTCACAACTTTCCACTTTTTCTTTTTGTCAAAAATTTTCCACACTCATTTCATCCAAACATTCCCTGTAAATTTATTTTCTTTACTTTTTTTTGTTATGTTATTCATATTGTTTGAAAAATGTCCCGGACTTTGAAGGGACGAAATTGGTCACGAGTGGAAGATGAACATCTTTGCAAGGCTTTCATAAAAGTCTCCGAAGATAGCATTGTGGGTACTAACCAAAAAAGCACTGGGCTTTGGGAACACATCTCACAAAAATATACAAAGGCATCATCAATCCTTCCATTTACAAAGGAAGGAGATGAAATTGTGAGACATTGAATCGAAAACACTCCACTTATTGACATTGAAGATGATGATAAGAGGTGCCACATCGACAAAAATTTAATCGGAAATTTGGGTAGTTGCTCTCGAACCGACACGTGTCACTCAAAAATCATATCCAAAAAATTAATAAGATTCCTTTAGGATAAGACGTGCCACGTGGACACAAAATCTTATCAGAAACCTTGTTAAATGCTTATCAACGTACACGTGTCATATATGAAATATTGTCTCTAAATAAGAGTTTAATTAAATTAAACAGTACATAGTTGTGGAATGTATGAGTGTTGTACCATAGTTTTTCTGAAAATAATAAAATATGAAGGGCAATAAAATATAAACCTACATAACCGGAGATGGAAAATTTTAACCTTACTCTATTCTTTAAAAAATTTATATTTTGGAGGGCTAAATTTATAGCCCTGGACTACATTTAACCCTATGACTGGAGATGACCTAATATATATAAACAAAGGACTAACTTCATAATATTAAGCCACCAAACAACATTATCATCCATGCATAGATTCAAGGGAATTCGTCGAACTTGTACCCAAAAAGGAACAAGATGGGTATCAATTTCTTCCACCGCCAATGCCAATGGCCATCTTTTAACCGAGAAGCATTGACGCATGACAGACCATGGGCCTAGCTCCAAAATCTTCCCAGACATGTCCTCATCTTGGATAGTAATAGCAAATAGGTTCTCTCTTATCCCAGTGATTTTTGCTTTTTCGAACTCTTGCCAAGCCGTTTGATTAAGTATGAGAACCCCAACCAAGCCATAGGCTTCATGCGCCTCAGAGTAGAAATAGACATCACCTAGCCTTTTCCAGTTGGTTTTTGGCTCCCCAGTGGCGACGACTCTGAAATTTGGCAGAACTGCAATACGAACATCTCTTTGATTTCTGTTATAATTGTGGAAAACTCGGGCATAGCAACACCGAGTGCCAGAGGGGAAAGCAGAGAAGGGAGCTGCGGGATATGGTACATAGAGGAGAGCCAAGGTTATCAGAGAGCTGTATGAACAACCCAAACCAATATCGGTGTCGTAATGTGAGAGAAGGACAACAACAACTTAAAACCAGAGAAGAACCAATGGAAGTAGACGGCGTGTGCACCAAACATATGAGCCCAGAGAGGAGATTGTATCATAAAGAAGAGATCAAACCAGCGAGATATACAGTCCTCTCATGACACGCGACCCAAGAATCTAGCCATTGCTAACAGATGAGACTGACGATGTAACTCAGTTCGAATGAGACACGACACAACAGCAGATTTTGAGCAACTTAGTAAATGCCTCGAGCCACTCACTAATGGCAGTCTAGAATCAAGGAGAAACAAACCAAATCTTGGGACAACAGGATAATCCTAGAGGAAATTAATTTGCCTTCCAAGTTTGTTTGGCTTGCAGGCAGAACTGTGCCCATTTCAGAAGAAGAGATAATGGAACTATTGAAGGCCCAAATAACAAAAGGAGCATATTTTATAACTGATTGGACTAGACTAGGCCCACGCCACAGAGAAGACATAATTGATGATGGGCCTATTGGACGAGATCTCTAGTTGGAGCCTCAGTTCGCAAATCCATTTGGACCTCGGCCAAAGCACAACTCCCCCAAACTGGTGAGCCAGATAAACAAATGTTTACTAGCATGAGACTCAAAAGAAGTGCTGAGACAGAAGAGATTTGCAACTTCAAATCTCCTGATAAGAAGGCAAAGTGTTCCCAATGTGGAGAACACTCGGGGTCGTCAAAAGAAAGGAAAGTCAAGTCTTATGGAAGTGCAAAGTCTGGAGAAGAAATCTATTTTTGGAGGATAGTATTCATGAGGTAAAGGTTACGGAAATTGAAGACTGGAGGAAGGTAAGACAACAAGCAATTGATGAAGTGGGAGGAGACTCCTAGGGTGGTGGCGGCTGGCTTGAAACAGTTGCATGGGAGCCATGATTTACCTTATTTGGAATTGTCAAGGCCTAGGGTCTGACTTGACAGTTTGAGCCCTTCATGGGTTTATAAAAGAGTGCAGACCCTCTGCTGTGTTTTTAATGGAAACAAAAATGCAAAGCAGCATAATTGATCATGTTAGGAGTAGAATGGGCTTCCAAAATGGTTGCAATGCTCCCCTGAATGGATTAGCAGGTGGGCTAAGCCTTTGGTGGGATGAATCGGTAAATGTTGATGTTGTCTTTAGTTCTGAAAACTTGATTGATACAAAGATGCAAATTCTAAGTGATGGTTCTTGCTTCAGAGCGTCATGGATTTATGGCATGCCCTATAGAGAGCAAAAGTTGGATTTCTGGGGTTGGCTGGGATCGCAGCTTCGTGGTACAAGTGACCAGCAATAGAACTAGTTAAAGTAGGCTATATGCTCTCTGTCAGTCGGTTTGATCTCAATGACGGAGCTCAAAGCAACTAGAGTTTCTGCCTCAACTAAACCTGTTTGCTCACGAAGGACTGGTGAGGACTTCACAATTTATCTCAGTATAAAATTGGTAATTCTGGCCAGAGTAATGGATAATAAAGTGGACTGTTTTAGACAGAACTGACTTTTACAGAGCTACAAAGGAAGAAATCAACTCTAGAAAAGCAAAAGGAAAGCTGGAACTCCATTTCTGTTTGGATAGAAGCTTCTGATCCGGGCTGGATTGGGTATGTCTGGACTGGACTGGACTTTCAACAACTTCAACTGCTAAGCTTCAGCTGTAAATCGATACCAAAGTTCAATTTTGGTAGAGCTTTAATCTACTTCAAGCTTTGGGAGGCTTTTGAGCTGACAGAACTACAGCTTCTTCAGTCTGAAGGGGCAGAAGTGGCTGTTCTTAAGGATTTAATGAGCTGGAGACTGTACTGTAAAATTTGTTGAGGTTTTCATATTTGGGAAAACACAAACTCTGCTTGTCTTTGGATTTTGCTGAACTAAATTTGTAATGAGTGGGATCTCGTTTTGAATGACTTATCTCTCTAAGTATGAACTTTGGGAATTCTGATCTGAAGCTGGTTTCTCTTGGGGCTCAAGTGAGCTTTTGGTTGATTTCTTGTTGTTTTGTTTGATTGATGATTTTTTGTGTGTGTCCTTGATTCTGTTCACCCTATCTTCTATTTACAGGAAATGTTTTCTGGAATAGGGTAATTCTTTTAATAATGGGCGGCAAAAAGATCTTTCATCTTTTTATATGCAAAGAAAAAGGGGTTTATCACCTTTGGTAGATAAGCTCTCAATAGTCATTTTTTAAGATCACTTCTTTGTTTTCTTGAAAGAGAACCTAACCCTTCTTTTAATTCCAACTGCCCCATCTAAGAGCTCAAATCGTGATGGTTAGTTTGTTTCTCTAGTTTCGAACAACTCCCTGTCCTCTGCTTATCTCATTTATGAAAACATAGCATGCGTATTCCTGAAAAAGATGGTGCCTCCTTGGAGTGGAAACAATATTTTTGAATATATAAGAGGGATTTTGCTCTTTTGATGGTATAGCTTCAGAGAGAAAAATTTGCTAATGGCCTGCGTTCCTTTAATTTCCCAATCACTTCTTCCATGACAGTTGCAATTGTTGGTTTTTCTAAGTCAGAGATGTCACGTGAGTCTGTTCTTGCTTTGGGCTTCTTTTGATCATACCGGGCCTGCTTTGTTTTTGGGGCCCAGGGCTGGTTGCGCTTTTTTGAGGCCCAAGTTTGCTTGCCATATTTCGATAAATCTTGGGCTGGTCATTTCTGGATTTTGGGCATTCGATTCCTATTTTGCACAGTCCATATTTTGGGTCCTGTGGCCTTTGTTATTTTGGGCTAGGTGCGCCAGATTTTGGTCCGAATAGAACCCAACTTATTAAATGAAGTAAAAGGAAATTCAAGAGTAACAAGATCGAAATTGATAGCTTGGTGGATCACTAAACCTCATGGAACATAGCTGGGAGGAGAATGGCGATAATATCTCTCATATCAAGACCAAGTTGAATGACATCTGGAGAAAAGAATAGTGCTATTGGTAGCAGCGATCTTGAGTCAAATGGCTGGACAATGGGGACTCCAACACCTCTTTCTTTCACCAGATGACTATCCA